AGAGTGTAAAACGAAATAAAAGAAAAGTTTACTAGCTAAACAAATAACAAAAATCAAAACTCTCAACTTAATTACAGGTGCTTTACTTAACATTGTTTTTTTCTTAAATTTATTTGATTTTCAAGGTACAAATTCTACTTTAAAATTTTTAGCAAAAAAGAAATTAAATGCTTTTTTTCAGCCAACTATTCTAAGGCTTACTTACTCAGAAAAAAAAAAGTTTGTTTCTTCAAGAAAAGCGTTTATACAATCACAACTGTAATGGTCGAAAAACAGTTTCAGTTACAGAAGAAAAGATAATAAAATTACTTTAGTTTTTTTTGAAAATCATTTCTTTTTTAGTTATTTCTTCTGAACCTTTTTCAGCGGCTTCGTCAAAGATACTTCTCCTTGTCGCATTGTAATGGAATACTGTGAGAGAGGATCACTTAGGAAAGAGTTAGATGACTGTGGCTGCCTTCAAAAAACCGACTTCTTCTTATGGAGCAGAAAAATTGCTGATGGAATGAGTTACCTTCATTCACGAAAAATTGTCCATCGAAATCTGAAGTCCACAAAGCATGCTTTTCTTACTGTTTTTTCATTCTTTAAACTAATTTTTATCAGTGTTGTTCACTAGCTTTTCAGTGTTCTTTTGGATGCAAAAAAAACCATTAAGATCTCTGATTTTGGATTTTCAAAGCGACTTCAAAGCTTGAATGAATCAAGTGAAAATAAAGCAGGGAATAAATCGAGTGAAAATATGACATTTTGTGGCACTTATGCTTATATGGCTCCTGAAATGCTAATAAATTCTAAATGTTCCAATAAAGTAAGTTTTACTTTAAGGAATTTGTGTGCTAACTTCAAAATTTTTTTGTCTTTTGCTTTCTTCAGTTCTGTTTGCAGATTGATGTATGGAGTTATGGTGTACTTATTTGGGAGCTTATAACAACGCTAAGACCATACAAAGGTTTTTCGTCTAAGCAGATCTTTCTCAAAGTTCCTGTCGGGTTCATTATTTCAAATACTCATTTTAATCGAAGATTTCAGTGAAATTTTTTTGCTTTACTTAATAAGCTACAAGTAAATTAAACTCTTTTTTAGATTTAGAATATTTATTCGAGACTTTTTTTTCCAATTTAAGACATTATATGAAACGCACATAGTCATTGCTCATTCAAATAGTTCTCTCGAGAAAAATTTGATTGAATTACACTTCAATTCGCACATTTAAATTATAGGTTTTCTAAAACGTATTCTCTGAATACTTCTAATGCTCTCGTTGATAAAAAGATAAAAAATATCTTTTATATTTTTGTAAAACTGCATTTTGGTTAAGAAAGATGACGTAAGCATTTGTGGAGTAGCAAAAATTTTTAAAAACTGATAGTTTTTCATTGCATTTGAGATTCAAAAATTTCTGGACACCTTAATCAGTTTAGGAGTGCATGTTTCTCATTGTTTCTTATAAGTTTCTTAATCAACTAAACTCTTATAGAACTCGGTGAATAAGTTAGAGAAGAGATTGCAAAGATCCTTAGAGCAATCGTATATTACATAATCACCTCTTTCAATTCATTTTTGATTGGGTAATTTTTTGTAAAACTCCGAACTGTTTACACTTTACTCGTTAAAAGAAATCGCTTTTTAGTAAGTTAAAGTTACCTCTTCCAAAAACGCCGCTCAAAGAGATAGAGAAACTTATTGAGAAGTGCCAAAAACTGGTTTCAAAGGAAAGACCGCAATTTAAGGAAATTGTGGAGCGGTTTAATGGAAATTCAGTGGGCTTTTTAATATTGCTAAAATATTACATCGTTTCAAATTTGAGTCTTCTTTTATTTCAACAATTGCTGCGTTTATGTGATGAAAATCGTTGACAACTTTCAGATGAATGATGAAGAGTCTACAACTACAGAAGAATTGTGGAAGTCGTGTGTATTTGAGTGGAGAGAAAAAGCACTTGAAGAATTAAACCCAGAGTTATATCAAGATAGCGATTCTTCTGCTATGGTAGCTGTTTAAAGTTCAGCTCTTATTTGCAAATAAATGTTTTATTACGTTGCTGAAGCCAGTGCTGGAGCAACCTTGCACAGAAAAGCTTTTCCTTGCACTTAAGCAGAACAATTTAAATGCTTTTATTATACAACTAATTTGTAACCGTAAGCTTTCCAATTTTCTAAACAGATCGGCTTTTCTAAAAGAATTCATTCATTCTGATTAATAAATGCTCAGATTGCCAAATTACTAATAGCTTTTAATTTAAGCTTACTTTTTTTATTTTTACACTAAGCAGTTTTCTGCCTTTGAGATTCTACCTTGTAGCATCAACGGACTTTATCTGCTTCGCTTTTCGAATCAGCACTAAGTGAGTGCCCACATTTTTTTGGTTTCTCACTCTAATTCTCACTCTTTTCTCACTCGAAATGTCAATCTTTTATTTTCTGTTTTTTTTTTTTTTTGTTTCAATTTCCTATCTTTACAGAGAAAAACTAAGATGACTTTTAGTAGGTAGATAACAAGCTTTGAGAGGCTAGTTTTTTTGCTGGGTAAAGTAAAAAAGGATACAGCTTTTGTTGTAATTTTTATTATAGGTTATACAGATAAATACCGATTTCTATGTCTGCTGGCTTAAACTCATGCCGTTGTAGGCGACGGGTAATTTTAGATACATTTTGATATTTAGCATAATCTGCAGCACAATCAGGTCAGAATCTAAAACAAATTAATAAAATGTACTTTTGACATTTTGCTGATTAAATGCCGCAGAGTCGAAGTTCAAGTGGTTTTTCAGACTTTATTTCATATCTCTGCAAGGATGAATAACGCTTGGAAACCTTTATAATTATTTTAAAAGATAGAGAGTATTAGGCGAATGCTTTCGGCAATCTTCAAGTGAAAAACCGCTGTGCAATAACTGTCGCAACTCCTGTAATTAATGTCTCATTAAAAAACCGTTTTATTGCCTCAAAATTAATCAATTTTTTCTATTTTCGCTTTTCTTAAATGTATTTTTTGTGCTGTTATTAACAACAATTTAGATTTTTCAATCTGTAGTAAGGAATTATTTTACATAACTCTTATAGAATATGGTTTAAGTTGTGTCGTAAGTCTGTGTCACTCATTAAACGATTGCGCAGCTCTTTAAATGCTAAACAGAGCTTAATCATGTTTTTAATTTTGCTTTTCTAGTTTGAAAGTTTTACACAGGCTGTTAAGGTTGTTTTCACCTATTAAAAGCTGAATTCGCCCTATTTTATTGGAGAAATTTTTGTGTAACAGTTTAACAATGATTTGACATATTGTAAAATATTACTTAAAGAGAGTTAGGAAACAGTCAGTGAAATAAATTGGACGAAAGAAAAAGCCAGAAAAGACAATCTAACAGCACTGTCCATCTTGAAAACAGTGAAAACTTGTTGTAATAATCATAAAGACAAGAAAAGTTTATTATTTTAGAAGATATAACTAAATAACATGAAGTATACAATTTGGCAGTACTCTACCGTTTATAAGAGAGAAATGCAGTTACAAGTAAAATCATACAGCTTTGATCATGTGATAATTTTCTGGCCTATAATCGTTCTTAGTTTTCTGGTTAAAAAATTGATCTGTTTTTTTTTTTTTTTCAATAAGCCGCATGCTGATAAAATGTGAAAAAAATTTGATGAAACAACAGAACGGTTTTTAAAAAAATCTGCTGTTTCATTCACTCAATTTAAAATTAAAGGTCATTGCATTTATATGCTTTTCAATTTTACAATTTTTGTATAAATATTCAGCTTATTTAGGGTTTATCAAAAGTCTACATTTTTTTAAAGCATGTTACACTTCACGGTTTAAATATTTAGGGGTATAGATAGAAAAAGCAAATGCTGTTCGCTGTACACATTTTATATGCATAAGGTTGTCGCCAAACAGTAAATGCATAGCACACTATCTATAAACTAACTAATGTCTGTCTACAGGTTTACTTATTTTTATTAACTAAAAGCCGCAGTGAATTTGGGTGTACAATGATTCATAATGATTTAGTTCTTTCGGTTCACAGAACACTGCTTCTGTCTCACCGCAGAATTAGGTTTTTGAATTTTACTAGTCTTAATCGCCGTAATATATCAAAAACTTTTACTATTTATAAATTCCCAAAAGAAAAAAAACCTTGTAATTTTTAGCAGATCAAAATTACTTCCAGAAAACTGAAAGGTTTTTACATTGATTAGAACGGCAATACAATTTTTCTAAACGACGCTGTACATTGCAATGATCTGTGTTTACACAATTATAACTAGAAAAATTAGAAATTTTTCAGATTTAGATTTATGTCGAATTAAACAGTTAAAAAGTTTTTTTTGCGTAATTTTCTTAACATTTTTCAAAGTTTGTATAAAAAAAGCAAAATTACTTTTGGCAAAAGACCCACATAGACACCAAAAAGTAGTATTTGAAAATGTAAGCTTCACCTCTAAAATCAATTTTTATCCCATCATTCAAATTTACAGTTTCAATGCACGGTTTAGAAGTTCTGATCTCAAACACGTTATGACGTCAAAACTGATAGAAAGCAAACTAAAGAAAGCAGACGTTTAAACGCTGTTGAGAGTTTGCAGAACAGTACTTTTCACATTTGTTAGAAAGTAGTTTAACGAAGTATTTGAAAGTTTCAAATTTGATCGTTTACTAGTCATTAATTCAGATTCTAAGCTTTAAATTAACAAAACATTTTTTTTTTACAATAAAACATAAAGAAGCTTCAATTTAGAATTATTTTTTTACAGTTTAAACTTTTTGTTATCAGTACGAATCATATCTGTGCAGTACAGAATCCTACCAAAAATTTCTGAAACATCATTGTTACACTTCGATAATTTCAAAAACACTGAAAAAAAACAGTATTCAATAAATTTAAGCTGAATTAATAAGATTTAGACATCAAAAAAATTTTGCTTTTATAAATCAAAAGAAAAAATAAATTTCATTCTAGTTCTCTAAAAATATTTTTGATAATTTGACCACAGGATTTTTATAACAAATCTACTATTACTTATACCCGAGAATCCAGTAAAAAATGACATAAGACGAAATGTGAAAGTAGAGAACAAAAGTGTCTATAACGTTTTCAGCGCAGTAATCTAAAATATTTCTCACATAACTTTTTGATTTTTTTGCTAAACTAAACATGTAAAATCAATTCAACAATCAACAAAAAAAAAAAAAAAAA